CAATTTTAAGTTCCTCTCAGAAATTTGAGCCCCAGGTCAATTGTTTACTGGACAAGTCAATTAACCTCTTATATCTCAGTTTACTCATCTGTAAAATAACAATCACACTTAGGGCTATTGTGAGGAAAGGGTTTTAAAACCTCAAAGCACTGTGTAAATATAAGTTTTTCTTCTTTTTTTCTTCTTCTTCTTCTCCACTTCCTCCTCCTCCTTTGCTTCTTCCTCCTTTTTCTCCTCTGTTATTATTGTTATCTCAAATATCTTAGAAAATGTAGTAGAACATTTATTTAAGGCCCCCCTCTTTACCTCTGTTTTAATTTTTGTTTCTTTTTTTTGTTAACTTGTCCAAAATACCTCATTATTAACTTTTCATTATGTTTTTCCTACCCTGACATTGATTACCCCAAATCCATCTTGAGTTCTTCTACATATTAGCATCATTAACATTTATTGACATTAATTGATCTTTATAAAAGATTTTCCTTGTAAAGGTTTTCTTTCCATTCCTCATTCTTAATGGAATCTGCTCATTTTTCTCTATAAACTCAAGTGAGCTCCCAATTACTTCCAGGATCAAATATAAATTCCTCTGTTTGGCATTTAAAACCCTTTAAAACCTCACCCCAACCTACCTTTCCTGTTTTGTCACCCATTCTCTTCACTTTTCCTGTAGACCAGCCCAAGTGAACTTCTTGTGGTTCCTGACACATGACACTCCATTTATGGTGTCCTTGACTTTGTCCCAAGGCTACCTCCATGATTGAATTATCCTCCCTTCTGTTCTGCCCTTCTAAGCATCCTAAGTTTCTTTCCAGGCTCAGGTCAAATGCCAGGATCTATATGAAGCTTTTCTTTATTCTCCCAGGCACCAGTGATTCCCACCTCAACATTACTTTGCATCTATTTTGACACAGCATTTATGTACACATTGTCTAATCCATCTGGATTCTAATCTCAAAAACCGGGGCTGTTTTACTTTTCTCTTTGTTTCCCTAGCAGCTAGCAGCATACCTGGTACATAGGAAGTGTTTACTAAAATAGTTTTAATTGAGGGATTAAGTCTTATTCTTTTCTTTGAAAAAAAAACAGCAAAAGAGCCATAACTTGATGTTATTACAAACTTATGTAATAAGAAAGTATTAATTCATTTTAAAATTATTCAATGAATATCTACTAAGGATATAACATTGTGCTTTTAGTTATGAGAAGTTTAAAATATGGTTCTGGTCCTGCTGCATTGAAAGACAAAGCATCCAGGAACAGGGAGGTAATCATTTCTATTTACTGTGTCCTGGGAAGATAACAACTGGAGTACTGTGTTTAGTTCTGGAGGCCACAATTTAAGAATAACATTGACAAGCTGGAGAGCATCCAGAGAAGAACTACTAGGAAGATGAAGAGTCTTGAGTCCACATCATGAGTTTCAATGAAAAGAAAAAAGATGCGAATGTTTAACCTGGAGAAGAGAAGACTCAGGGAATACATGATAGTTGTTTTCAAGTATTTGGAAGACTGGCATGTGGAAAAAGGACTAGATCTATTCTATTTGGCCCCAGAAGGGCAGCTTTAGGAGCAACTGAAAGAAGTTGTAATGAACAAATACAGGCTGATATGAGGGAAAACTTCCTAACCATTAGACCTTTATAGAAGTGGAATGGGCTACTTTGGAAAGTGGGTGAGTTCACTCACATTAAAAGTCTTCAACAAGAGTTTGGATGACAACTTCTCAGGCATATTATTGTAGGATTCCTTTTAGGAAGGAAAAGATGACAACTGAAGTCCCTACCAACTCCCCAAATTATGTGATTCTGTGATCCCCCAATGCTCATGATATAGCTGCATATATGATATAGTTATAATAAATGAAAGTTAAATTTTTATATGAAGCAAGGTATGTAGCTAGATCCCAATTACCATGAATAATGCATCCTCTGAAGTGGTTGCATTATTCAAATTCATGTTTTATCTTTCTCTTGTACTGGAACCAATTGCCACATATTTATGTAACTAACTTCAAATAGTGCAACCTCATGCAGGATTCGTTAGTCACATTAATAGGGACATAGCTATAATTTTGTCACAAGTGAACAGTGTTACAATAATTGTTTGTAGGATGAAGTCATCATGGACTGGAATGATTAGAGAAGTCTGCAAAGAAAAGGATAGATCAGATCTGTGTAGGTGAAAAAGAAAAATGACATAAGAAAATATGGGGATATAGAAATAAAAGAATGAGGATTAACTAGACCATAGATTCTTCAAGTTGAAAATTATCTTCAAAGTTATATAGTTCAATTTCCCAATCCATGCAGGAGCCCTGTTTTACACTGTATCTGACAAAATTACTCTGATTGAGCATTTTAAATGACTGAAAACTCACTACTTCATAAAATAACTCATTCCATTTTTTTTGATACCTCTAATTGTTAGAAAGTTTATTCTTAAACTAACCTGAAAACTGCTGTCTGTTACTTTTGCCTATTAGTCCTAGAGTCCTGCCCTCTGGAATTACACTTAATAAATCTATTTACTTTCCCACTGATATTATCATTTAGATATTTCAAGAGAGCTATTAAGGCCCATGTTAAGGCTTCTCCTAACTAGGTAAACACCTACAGTTTCTTTGGCCAATCATCATTTGACATGACTTTCAAAGACCCTTCAATATCCTAGTCAGCTGTCATTTGTTGATGTCCCTCTTAAATCACAGAATCAAATAGTGTGACAGGTAGAAGGAACCTTAGAAATCATCTAGTCTGAACATGGCACTCAAGTCTAAGCACAATATTCCAGATATGTTTTCATTAGAACCAAACATACTGGGGCTATTATCTCTTTGGTGTTTGAACACAGTGCTTTTTTAAATGCACCTAAAGCCTACATTAGCTTTGTTGCTGACCCCATCACATTGCTTACTGATGTTGAGCTTTCAACTAACTAGATGCAAGACAGTATGGTATACTGGTCAATCAATTTGACTGGCAGGCAAGAGATCTAATTCTAGTGTCACCCCTGACACTAACTAGCTCTATAACTTTATTAGTAACAATAATAGCTGGAATTTACACAGTGCTTTAAGATTTCCAAAGCACATTATATATATTAAATCATCTGATAACTTTAAGTACTGAGAGTCTATGATTCTAAAACTCCCTAGGTCTTTTTCATGTGATCTAATGATTAAATCAGCTATCTCCAGACTGTATTTATATAGTAGTTGTTCTTTTTTAAAAAATCTAAGGGCAAGACTTTTTAATTTATCCTCTTTAAATTTCATTCTATTAGTTTCAGTCCATCTATTAGGCTCTTGTTATCTTTTTGAATCTTCATTCAAATGTGTCATTCGATATATTAGCTAGCTGTTCCAGACTTTTGTCATCTACAAATTTAATAAACATTAGTTTTGAGTGCTTATCCAGTCAATGGGGGAATGATGTGGAGGGAGAGTGAACATAAGCCTCTGTCTTCCTCTGTAATTAAGTAGACACATGCATTATAAGAGTACAGTTACAGCACCTCATATTTCTATGGTGTTAGAAGGTTTGCAAACCTTAGATTTTTATGTAAACCTACAGTCAGATAATTTTGAAATTCCTTTAAGCTAAGCAGCTACAAACTGATCTAAATGTATTTTTTGCAGCTCACATCTCCCCATCTTGTCCATAAGGATATCACAAGAAATGTTGTCACGTGCCTTAAAGAAATCAGGATCTATCACATGCCCTTATTTAACCATCCAATTATCCTATCAGAAAAGGAAATAAGCTACACTTGGAGCAGCTTGTTCCTAGTGAATTCTGATGGTTTCCAAAGATCACTGTTTTCTCTTCAAATTAGAGAGACAGTATACATTTTTGAGACCAATAAGAGACTTAGATTAGGCACAAGTTATGAAGAACCTTGAGAAATTTGGGCTTAATCGTAGTAGAGGTGATGGGAAAACATTAAAGGATTTTAAAACATTAAAATGAAAGGATTAAAGTGGAAAAGTATCTTTAAAAAGAACCCATCTTTTTTGGAAAATCAGTCTAACAGTGGTATAAGATACATTGGGAGGGAGAAAATATTAGGAATGGGGAGACCATCTAGAAAGCTATGGGAATTGTCCAGATATGGGGTTATAAGGATTTGAATTAGAAAAGATTAAATTGCTATTATCCTTCTTTTCATAAGAGAGCACACTGAGATACTGACGATTGTGATTTTCTGCTACTACAGTGTGAATTAATGAATGAATTGAAAGTTATGTGGGAATTTGCTGAATGAGGTTTCCTTATATCTTTCTCCTTATGAACCATGACAACCTGTGCCAATTTAATTCAGGACTCCAGCATAGCTCATCTCTGACTTGACCTGTAATAACTTTTGATATTCTGTGTAAAAGAACTGAAGTCTGCTTTTTTTGGTTCCACTCTTCTATTGACCCATTGACAGATGGCTGTAATTTTTAACTATTATGATCCTTATCATAGTTAGGGAGAAAAAAAAACTTTTTTTTTATAAAAGCTGCCTGTCATTAAACTTTTTTTTGTTTTTTGTTTTTCTTGTTTAAAGCTTTCCCTAGAGTTAAATGTAGGGGCAGGTAGGAGACACAATAAATAGAGTGCAGGGACTGGAATCAGGAAGACTCATCTTCCTGAGTTCAAATCTGGCTTCAGACACTTACTAGCTATGTGACCATGGGAAAGTCACTTAATCCTGTTTGCCTCAGTTTCCTCATCTATAAGATAAGCTGGAGAAGGAAATGGCAAAACTCTCCAGTATCTTTGCCAAGAAAACCCAAATGGTGTCATGAAGAGTTGGGCACAGCTAAAACAACTGAACAACAACAAAGTGTTAAAACTAGTGTCTGTTTTTAGAGTTATTGAATATGAAGAATAAAGTTATCTTTTCAACAATATGTGTGGTTTATGTGTTTATCTTGTAGAAGCTAGTGATGGCTAACGAAATAAGTTGTGGTTGCTATTGCCTTCTGAATGTTTTGCTCATCTTTTTTGCAGGTAGGAAAGTGGAAAGACAAAAACCTTCAGATGAAATACTACGTATGGCCCCGTGTGTGTCCTGAGACTGAAGAGCAGGAGGATGACCACTTGAGCATTGTGACCCTGGAAGAAGCTCCATTTGTCATTGTGGAAAGTGTAGACCCATTGAGTGGAACCTGCATGAGGAATACAGTCCCCTGCCAGAAACGCATTGTCACTGAGTATGGCAAACTGGTTCTTTGTGGCACCACCCTGGTCAGCTCATACCCTATTGTTGTCATCTACTTGGCCTAAGCCATGCTTCCCATACTGAAATATGTATTATATCTGATTTTATTTACTAAACCTTTGAATTAGTTATGGTCCTATAGTCTGCTATCTAGAATCTTCCTTACCATGCCTGTGGTGTATTCCCTCAGATTATATTCATGGTAGTTATGCCCCTATTTGGTCCTACTGTCTGGGATGTCAAGTTTATGGATTCTTTTATGATTTTTTTTTTACTTAGTACAGAACTTGTGAAATGAACCATTTGAAATTTATAGAAAACAGCAACTACTTGAACATTCAATACCAATACAAATAGTTCTGAGCTACAAAGGGGAGCATGCTTTTGGAATGGGGATGTGGTGATGTGAAAGAGAACACTTTGTCTTCTGTATTAATCTTTGGTTGTTATAACTGGTTAGGAACAAAACGGATGAGGAGCCAGATTACATTAAAAAATGCTGCAAGGGTTTCTGCATTGACATCCTCAAGAAAATATCTAAATCTGTGAAGTTCACCTATGACCTCTACTTAGTTACCAATGGCAAGCATGGGAAGAAAATCAATGGAACCTGGAATGGTATGATTGGAGAGGTGAGTTGTAGGGGTGTATGTATAATTTTCTTCATAAAGTTCCCAAATCTGCTTTCTGAATGTATTATCTGTTCATCAGATTCTTCTGAATAATCTTGGTTATCATTTTCTTTTAATTCCCCACTTGCTGTTCTGTTCATTCTAACTGAAATATACCCCCCTCCCTCCTTCCTCAAGGTGGTCATGAAGCGTGCCTACATGGCAGTGGGATCCCTTACCATCAATGAAGAACGCTCAGAAGTGGTGGACTTCTCTGTGCCCTTCATAGAGACTGGAATTAGTGTTATGGTGTCACGAAGCAATGGGACTGTCTCACCATCTGCCTTCTTAGGTAAATGATGTATTAAGGGGAAATGGATGTAAAATGAGAACAGATAGAAAGAAGAGACAAGAAGAACATGTTATGTCCGTTCTGCCAGGAGTTAGTTTCCTAGGAATTAAATTCAGCCAAGAATTTTGGGTTCTTCAAAGTTAATTTATTCTTAAACATAAGTATGCCAAAATTCTAGAATTTCTCTGAGATGGGATTTGTGATTATAGGACTTAGAATGATTGTTATATGTAGAAAGAAGCAGTATATTGTATGTTTTGTTTGGTGTTCTGCTCTTGAAGAGGCCCCAAAGAACTTCCCTACAAGGAAACATGCAGTTTCCTGGCCATTCCCCCATATTCTCCATGAAAAATACTCTAATACCCAAGAATATTTATGAACATTGAGCACTAAATACATTTCATATTTAGGTCACATTCTTTTTAATTTCCTTTATTTCTTTGCAAAAAAATATTTAATAATAATAAATTGTAAAGAAAACAGCATTCAAATCCTTCTGAAACCCCAAAATATCACTTATCTAAGGTTTTGGACTAGAAGACTAGAGCTAGTGCTCTCTGAAACCAAAGAACAATAGAGATTCTTAGAGTAATACTTGGATTTCAGGAGTAGTCATTGAGATGACAGAAGAATGAGGACCATTATATGGCTCAATACAGAGATCAGTGTTACCATGGAAGGCATGCAGGAACACACAAAAGGTTATCATAGAATTGTAGGGAAAGGAGAAAGTTTAAAGTCAATGAACTCTCTTTAGTCATTTTCCAAGGCAAAAATGAAGGCTACTGACCACTTATTCAAGTTGCGATTTGGATAGAACAGAGTCAAAAGGAGTGTATTTCCTTTATATCACTTGATAGGACCTATGACATTTAATCTACCAACCTCCACACCACTTCCATAAGGTATGGGACTGTTCAGTAGAATGTATGTTCATTTCTGAAGATTCATCATGTTTCATTTTTAATTCCTAAAAAAAAATAAGGCTTTTACAATTTCCTTAGGAATTCAGTAGTAAAATAGGCTTTGAAATAAGAAAATAGTTTTCTAATTTAAGTCTATTTTCCCTTTTGTTCAACTTCATCATTATTAATCATGTGGAAGAGGGAGCAAACTGCATATTAATTCACTTATATATGAGTTTACAATGTATTCTGACAGCTACAAAGGCCAGAACTATTTTGGGGATGAATTTGAAGAAGCATTGTATCATGGGACAAAATTGTCATCATTACTTTTTACACCATTCTACTGAACGACACCTGGAATATAATGTTCTCTCTCTGGACACCTCAATAAAAGAGATACGGATAAATTGGGAGGGATCCAGAAGAAATTATTATGAAAATTTAAAGAATTGTACTGTTAGATAGGTATAGCTTGTCTGTTGTAAATTGGTTCCTCAGAAACATGCCATTAAAAAAGACTGTATTCTGTAGTTAGAGCATCTGATTTGTATCATGGGCAGTCAGCTGAATGATATTATGGTAAGAGTTTGACAGTATTGCAGTGAGGTTTGGTTCAAAGCATTTAATTAATCGTGATTTCATCAATGTCAGTACTTCCTCTAATGGTACAGATTACAGTGCATCCATGGCTTACATTTTGTGAGTTTCTCATCCAGTTCCTCCCCTCTACAGAGTCCACCAATCAAGATAGTAGTATTCCTCTGAATCCCTTAACATTATAAGTATGCCAGTGCAGAACTTGGGAGACTCATCTACTGTCTCAAGTCCATGCTGGGCCTACTTCCTTTTCTAGTCATACATGTCTTTGGTGATATCTTTTATACTACCTCTGGCAAGCAATTTGTTAATGGCCATTTGCAGAGACTTATTTAAACTCACCAAGCCCTTTGATGACCCTCATTTTTTTATTCTTAAGAGCATACTTTTTATTTATAGGTATATAAGTATGATGATAATAATAACATTTCTTTTTATATAGAGTTTAAAGGTTTATAAGGCACTTTTCTCACAATAACCCTGTGAGGTAGATAGTGCACATATTAGTATCCTCACTTCACAGATGAGGAAATGAAAGTAAAAATAAATCCCATGGTCAAATAGCTACTCTGAGTTGAGATTTGAGTCCTGGTCTCCTGACTCCAAATACAGGATTATTTCATGTGTAGGGGTCAAGGAGAGTGAGGACTAAGGAAAGGCAATTAGATTTAACAGTTAGAGGTGATTGTCAATCTTAGAAAAAGCAGTTTCAGTACAGTAGTAGGGTTAGAAAACAACTTTTAAGGATAATAAGATCCCCTTCATCATGAAGGATTGAGGGACTGAGAAGTGAATAACTAGAGAGGAAGTAGAAGCAGTGAGTGTGGATGATTCTTATAAAGAATTTGTCAGCGAAAAGTAGAACTATATGAGACCTTGGAGGCACAGTTAGCAGAGCTGACCTTAGCAAGAAGAAGGATCATCTTTTCTTCAGAGACAAAAGAAAAAGAGGAGTAGATGGGTGAAAGCATGAAGGGGTTTGAGGTGAGAATTAAAAAGAGAAGAAGAAATTCATTAATTCTTTTCTCATGTAGGCAATTGATCAGAAGGTCATTTTGATGAACCCTTATTTGGAACTTTGATGTTATCTTCCTCTAGAATGTGTGGATGTATCTACTGGCAGCCTTGAGAGGACTGGGTAATAACCTCATGCCCGGTAATCATTTACAGAGATCAGCAAAAGACTTAGACAGAACATGGGGGACAGTATTAACTATTGTGAGTTATTTGGACAGTTCAAGTCTAGTTAAAGAGAGTTGTCTTTTTAGAAACCCCAAGTTTGTTTCCATTTTGAGAGGACTGCATAACTACCATACTGAATGAGCCCTTACTGCTCCACAGTAAAACTTCTATTCTTGCCTCCTTCAAGGGCTGTTTCAAACCCTCTCTTGACTTTATTCCCCACTGGGATGAATTTCTGGAGACCACTAAATTGAAAAGGTGAGCCCAGTGTGTAGCAGTAAGGGCTCATTCCTTATGGTGGGATGATTTCCTCAAGCAGCTTGGAAATACGATGGGAAAAGATGAGTAACACGATGGTCAGTAGTTGAAGATTGGTAGGGCATGAATAGCACTGTGACATGGGGGCAAGACTTTCAAGAGAATAGGCCAATGTATGCTTGTAAATGGTCAACTACAAAAATGAGACTTTGAAGAGAGGAAAGTAATACCAGACTACTGGTGATAGACTGGAAGAGCAGGGAAGACTATGCCTAATGTAGATAAGAACTGAAATGGTTAATTGTTCTGTTAAACCAAGGACATTTTATTAACACAAAAACTCTAACAAATTTTTAAGGTCCCCACACTATAGCATAACCCTATAGTGATAGAGAAATGAATGATCAAGAGCAGGTAGAATGGAGTATATTTGGAGACAAAGACTCTAGGCTCAGGTCATGATTGTCACTATTTGTATGATCTTAGGCCACTCATTTAAGCTTCCTTGGTTTTTTTCACATGTAAAAATATGAGGATTGGTTTAGATCAAGGGTTAGCAAACCCTGTTTTTGTAGGGCCCTTAAGCTAAGGAGGGACATTTAGGTAGACTGGATACAGCACTGGACCTGGAGTCAGGAAGACTTATCTTAATGAGTTCAAATCTGGCTTCACACACTCAGTAGCTTGTATGACCATGGGCAAGTCATTTAACCCTGTTTACCTTACTTCCTCATTTGTAAACTGAGCTGGAGAAGGAAATGGCAAACCACTCCAGCGTTTTTGCCAAGAAAAACCCAAATGGGGTCACGAAGAGTTGGACACAACTCAAAAATAACTAAACAACAAGCTAAGAATGATTTTTACATTTTAAAAATGAGGCTATTTTAAAATATAAAACTATTCTTAGCTCACAGGACTTATAAAAACAGATGTATGTGGTTGGATTTAGCCTGAAGGCCATCATTTGCCAACCTCTGGATTAGATAATCTATTAAGATCCATTCCAGCTATAAATCTTAGGATGCTGCCTTTTTTTTTTCTTGACCACACCCATGCATATGGAATTTGTGCTTTACTTTTCTACCAACCCTTGCTTTCAGCTTCCACTGGTAGACCCCAACATGAACTAGTTTATCAGTAAAAGCTGTGACATTAACACAGAAAGCCACACAATGGTGCGACTCTCCTCTTCGCATATTTGAAAGACAGAAACACTGAAATGAGCATCAATAGAATTACTTGGAATCTCTGTGTGTCTATGTGCATGTGTTTACCTGAGACCTATTTCTTTCCCTTCATTAGAGCCATTCAGCGCTGATGTGTGGGTTATGATGTTTGTAATGCTGCTGATTGTCTCAGCGGTCGCAGTCTTTGTCTTCGAATACTTCAGCCCTGTGGGTTATAACCGGTGCCTTGCTGATGGCAGAGGTAAGGAGAAATTCAGCTGCTGTATTTTCCTATTCTTCTCTCTCCCAATCTCCAGCTCTCAAATTTGTAGGTGCTATCTTCTCCATTTGGTTGAAGAGTGCTTCCTCCCTAACTCATTGAACTCTGGAAATGAGCCCTTGGTTCTTTAGTTTGTCAGCCTATTCTAACTTCAGAAATGCCTTAATTGAGATGATCATCGGAAACTATATATTCCCTTCCTGGTTCCTCTTATCTTGGGCATTAGCCTCAAGGACAATTCTATTCCCTATCATCCAGATCCCTTTCCCTCCTCGTAACAAAAAAAAGGGGGGGCCAGTAATGTAAACATATCTGGAATGTTAAGTAAACTGGTTACTCCTCTGATAACACTGGGTTATGGGCAATATTTATGAGCAGATACAGATAGCAGTATAGATTTGTATGTCAAAATGCTGTCACAAGTAGGTGTCCTCCAATGGTGTACAGTGGTAACCTGAAACTGGTAGTATACCTTCATTTAAAGAACTAATCTCAAGCTACAGCCTGTGGTACCCCCAGTTGTAGCCACATGGCAGTGCAGTGGGGTTCTGATGTATGAATTTGAATTGGGTAGACTACAATTACCAACTCCATTTTTTTAATTGCTAGGATTTAAATAGTGTTTTAAGGTCTGTAAAACACTTTGCAAATATGTCGTTTTATCATTATAACAACTCTGAGAGGCAGGTGCTGTTATTATTCTCATTTTAGAGGTGAGGAAACTGAGGCAGACAATGTGTAAGTGACTTACCCAGGGTCACATAGCTAGTAAATGTCTGAGGCTGGATTTGAACTCAGGTCTTCATGACTCCAGCTTCAATGCTCTATCCACTGTGTCACCTAGCTTCCTCTAAAGCTATTTATAGGAATCTGTTTTCAGACTAGGCCAATCTCAGAGATCTAAGTGATTGCCAAGAATTTCAGATATTTATGAGGCTGTTAAAGGTGGTTAATTAGGTTCCTGAAGAGTTTCAAAGGAGCCACTAAAATAACCCCACCTCAAAACTCCCCTAAAATACATGGTATAACGAGGTTAGAGACTGAAGCAGAAATTCCCTACTTCTTTATAATTTCTACCCTAGGAGTGAGCCTGGTCTCAGAAATAGACTCCCTTCATAGTCTATGAGTTCCCTAAGTCTGTTAGTCCAGAGTTGGAACTGTGGTGGGATCTCCAAGTTCTGGGGTATATAGTGATTGCTCCCTACAGTGTGATATAGCTATGGGATTTCATATTTCACTTCAGGGATCTCCTAGCAGCTATGACCCCTTCCAGTTATAGGAATTAACTATTGGACACATTCTGGGCAGCACCAGTGATTAGTCTAATATTTAATTATACAATTGTACTGTTAAATGGGTGGGCAGATATAAAGACATCTTCAAACTGATGTATTTTAAGAAAAATAAGTTAAAAATCCCAAGTTACTAAGCTTAATAAACTATGAGGCAATTATTTGCTTTACCAAAGTACTTTATTAAAAGATTAATTATAGGATAATTTAATATAGCAAGTTCCCCTAGGAATTTAAAAATATAATCCATTTATGGAAATTAAATTTACATAGAGTTCTATGTAAATATCTATTGTGTAAATCAAGGCATACATATACAGATGTCTATACAGTGGTAGATTGTACCTCTGAATATGCAGTTTTTAACATTAAAAATGACTGAACAGATGTTAATAGAACTTTGTCAACGTAGGCATATGCTAATGCTAATATGTAGAGGAAATGGAACAGCAGATGTTCATAACTGCATATGAGGGGTCAAGTGCAATTTTATATACTGAGGCAGATGTCACCACCACCAAATGATGAACACTGGTTTTCATTTTTCCACATGATGGATGGGATGGGTCGCATGACCTATTCACATAAACCTGTAGAATAATGAACTCTATAGGTGTTATACAAGAATTAGTTGGGGATAGGAAAAGAGACAGTGACCAGTCCTCCCTATATAAAAAATTAAAAAACCAAAACAAAACAAAATAAACTGTTCATAGCTATCCCATAGATTGGGCAAGCAACCATGCACACTCCCTAGTAGTTTCCTAAACAGATGCTGCCAGTCTGGGGGTCAGAGTGTATTTGTGAAGGGTCATAAGGCAGGGAAGTGGAAGGATCAGGTTCACCAGACATAAATCAGAAGCCAGTAGGACTATCTCTTAAATGCCTTGTACTGAAATAGATGCTTTAAGAAGTTATAAAATAAAACAAGTAACAAACAAACAAAAAACAAAAAAAGAAGAAAAAAGGGAAAAAAGAAATCCACATGATAACTTTATTATTTAGAGAATATATAGAGAGAATAGCAAGTTGTACATAATAGATTTGCAGTTCTATGAGCAATCATCTTTTTATTGTACTATGTTATGAAAATGCTTGTTTTATTCCATAAAACAAAAGTAAATAAAAATTTAAAAAACGAACAAAACAAGGCCATTAGCCTCCACTCTACCTCTGGGGACTAGTCATTTGCAGTCAAGTCAGGGACTATAAATAGAATTAGCTATCAAAAACAAATTTTGAAGAAGACAATAGCAAAGAACATACTCTGACATTTTATAAAAATTTCTATGTTTTCTTAGTATATGATAATAACATTTCAGAAACAAAGAAAATAAATAAGAAAGCAAATACAACAGATAGTTTGGGGTAGTATAAAGAACATGGGACTTAGAGTAACAAGAGCTAAGTACGAAGTTTATAGATTGTGTGATCTTGAGCAAGTCTCTTTACTTCCCCCAGTTTCAATTTAATTGATAAAATGAAGATATTAATACATGCATTACCCATCTTACAGACCTACTTTGAGCCTTACATGAGATAATTTACTTATGAATATAAAGCTCCATGCCAGTGTAAGCCATTATGATGATCTAAAAATAAGAAGTTCTTTAGTATCATTTTTTATTATTAATATGAATAATTTTTTTACAAAATCTACATTTCTTACATCTGCTTATGATAAACTGGGTAGTAAAGTTCATTGTTTAGTGTCTGGGGTCAAAACTCATTGGTTAGGACACCATTCTTCCCATATCAATCTCCACCATTTTCTGTCCTCAGACTCTGGTCTTCTCTCTATTCTGTCTTCTGAAAAGTATCCAGGGTAGAAAGAGGGGCAAGTATTTATTTAAAGGATTGTCTAACTGATGCCTATGAACACTTGGAGAAGATGCTTTAGGGAGGTTTCATTCTTTCATTAAGAATTTGGTTCTGAGATCCTTGGAAGGGCCCACAAAACAGGAGGAGGAAGGGGTTTCATAGTCATTACAGAGGAGGCATCTTTCTTTCCTGGGGATGACATTGTTTCAGTGAAGTTACACATAGGGAGGACTTACTCCAATCTTCTTGCACGTATCAGTAGAACCAGACAGTGAGAGTCCCACTGACGTAACTTCTCAAACTTATCTGTTGGTCCCTACAGAGCCAGGCGGTCCCTCTTTCACCATTGGCAAAGCTATTTGGTTGCTGTGGGGGCTGGTATTTAACAACTCTGTACCAGTTCAGAACCCAAAGGGAACAACCAGCAAAATCATGGTGTCAGTGTGGGCCTTCTTTGCTGTCATCTTCCTGGCCAGCTACACTGCCAACTTAGCTGCCTTCATGATTCAAGAGGAGTATGTGGACCAAGTTTCTGGCCTGAGTGACAAAAAGGTAAGAGATACTTTTGAAAATCTCCCATTTCCACCCAAAATAACCTCCCTGGAAAGGAAGTGTTGCTTACGTTCTCCCTCTGGTCCCCATTTTAATTAGGCTCATGTTTCAAGCTCCTGGGAGTACTGAAAGTTTTCGTGATCCTAATAATTTCCTAACATCTGAATTTCCTACTTGTGTTTTAAATAAATTGGAAGGCAGAAGCAGAAGAAATTAGTTTCCCTACTGAAATAATTGTTTTCCCTTCCTGTCTTTGTGCAAACCTACTGATTTATGCAGGGAGTGTCACAAATGATTCCTGGGCTACAAATAACTAGCTTGGTTTTTTATCCACACTTTTAGCATGTGATTGCACATTGGTTTGTTAGGGTTGGGCAGCTAGGTAGCTTAGGGATACAAGCACTGGCCTGTTATTAGAGGGTTGCCCCTGTGTGCCAGCACTGTGGAAGCTTGCTTATCATGGCTTACATTTTCCCACAGATGAACTAGTTACTGTAGGCTTACTCTGCCTTTGTTTCTTCTCTGTGCACATCCTAGAGACTATGCAGGAGGGCTGCTCATGTGAAAGTGTTGAAGTATTTCAGGGCATGAAAACTGGTCTTTAATTCTGTGACTGCCCACACACTATGATGCTAACAGGCCAGTCCTGTACCTGTTCTGTTCTGAGCTGGCTTGCATGGTACAGAAAAAAGGGAAGATATTTAGTTTTCATTTCTAGTAGATGAGTATGTGCTGGCCCATTGGGGATTTTACCAGGCTGACATACTGTAGCTTTCCATGTGAGATTTCCTGTCACCTCTAGCTATGATACTAATGATCCTTATCACCTTCTCAAGCTTCCAGTAAACACATGGATATTCCAAACCAATCATGGAATTTTTACTTCTAAGAAATCTCCTGACATCAATTTCATCAAGCTTTAGAAAATATTCATCTGTTTCAAGAAGTAAATGTGAATTTGGCCTGCCAAGTTAGATACCTCATGTTTATTACTGATAATTTATCATCTGGTATCTCTTGACCTAATAGTTAAGAAAGTTACTTAGATAGAAAATATAAGGATGCATTATAGTTGAAAAGGAATTAATGTTCTTTCCTCTTTGACTCAGGTAATCATTTTCCCTAAGAGAGGCATTTGGTATAATGGGTTCAAGTCTGGTCTCTGATACATAATGCTAGGCAAGCCACTTAATCTGTCAGTGTTCTAAGAAACTCTCTACAATTATAAATTGCAGAAAAGGTGCTATCCTTCATTAGTAGAGAGAATGTCCTTATCTTTGGAGCTCCTTATGCCAATAAAATCATAGGTCCAATCCCTATTTCATTTTCCCTAAAGGAACATTTAAAAGCATGTGGAAAAGATACACAGTTTAAAAAGGAATGAGTTTTATTTCTTATAATTTTTCATTCTCTTCATATCTATTTAGTTTTTCTTTCTTTTGGAATTTTCTTTTTCTTTCTTTCTTTTTTTCCTTTCCCCTCCCCCTCATTCCTTTCCTTTCTCCTCATTTTAATATTCCATTTCTTCCTGAAGCTCCCAGTAACATCTGATTCTGTGGCTTGGTGGTTAGAGGTTAGGTGAGGATAAACTACCTGACAGAGAATGCCTCTGCTCCCACCTTTCTTGTTGTTCACTCTAGCTACCTAAGAAGTAATATGGTGGAAAGCTTCCCCTTGTAACAATCTTATTTCTGGACATGCTAAGGGATGAGATGATTACACAAAGAATCCAATACTCCCTTGGTCTTCTAGCTGGGGGCCCGTCATGATCAGTACATGAATTTCCCATATGGTGCTAAAAAAAAACATAGGAAATTCTGCTGATCAAAAGTTGAATGGTTCTCTAAAGGGAACCATGATGCAGTGGAGAGACCAACAGACTTGAACCAGAAGACCTGAGTCTAGGCTCTATCACTTACTAGCCTTTTGGTCCTGTACCACTTGACCTCTATGAGTAACAATGACATTAATAATAATAATAATAACAACAATAAGAAATATATAGCACTTTAAGCTTTGCTAAGCATTTTACAAATATCATATTATTTGATCCTTACAACAACTCTAGGAGGTAGGTGCTATTATTATCCCCATTTTACAGGTGAGGAAACTAAGGCAGATAGTAAGTGTATAAGGCCAGATTTGAATTCAGGTCTTTCTGACTCCAGGTCCAACACTTTATCCACTGCACCACCTAGTTACCTCAATTTCCTTATTTGTGAAACAGGATTAATAATACTTGTATGAACTGAAAGGTCTACTGTTGCTTTTAGTTGAACTAGGTTTCTGAAGACTGGATAGAGGATGTTTTCCCTTCTATATTTCTTTATCCATCAATTATTAAAAAAATATTTATTTACTAAGGGTATACCAATTGCCAAGCACTGTGTTAAATCACCAGAGCTCACAATGTAAACAAAAAATGCAGTGGAAAGAAAGAAGGAAAAATGAGAAATTTTTACGTGAAAATTTTGTTGTATATTTGAAAATAATAGCAATAATGCATAGTAAATTTGCAGCTTCATGTACAATCTTCTTTTTAATTGTACTAAGTTATGGAAATGCTTGTTGTATCCCATAAATTAAAAATAAAAATTTAAAAAGTAAATAAAAATATAGACAAAGTGATTTCAGTGGGGGGAGGGAGGAGGTAGGCACTAGCAGCTGGTAGGTTTAGGCAGTCTCTAGAGCTAGGCTTTGAGGATTCTAAGAGGCAGAGGTGAGAAATGCATTCCAGACCTTGGGGCCAGTCTGGAAAAATGCATAGAGGTGAAAGAGGGAATGTTACGAATAAGTAACAGCAGTCCAGCTTGGGTAGAAGGTAGAGGAAGTGAAGAGTGATAAAGAAGGCTGGAAAAGTAGGCTTTTCTTGACTGTGAAGGACCTTAAATGTCAAACAGAGGAGGAGCATTTGCATTTTATCCTAGAGGCATTGGGGACCCACTGGAATCCTTAACATGTGTTTTAGGAATATCACTTGGCCACTTGGTTGAGGATAAATTTCAGCAAGAAGAGACTCAACTGACAGGGAGATCAGTTTGCAGGCAATTACAGTAATCCAGGTGAAAGTTGAGAAGGACCTGGACTAAGGAGGGACAAACGTAAGAGATTTTGTGGAGGCAGAAATGATGAAACTTAGCAGCTTATTGAGTGATGGTGGGTAAGAAAGGGTGAAGAGCCAAGGATGACTCTAAGGTGCACCTGGTTGGCTCCAAAGATGGTAGTGTCCTTGACAGAAACAGGCAATTAAGAAATCACTGGTAACAACTGGTGACAACAGATTTAGCTGAACCATTGTCAGAAGCCAGCTTGCAGTGGTGAAGTAAGGAGTAAGGGAAAGGAGATAAATAACAGACAAGAAGCTTTTTCTATGAGTTTGGCTATGAAAGGGAGAAGTACAAAGTAATAACTTAGAAGATGGTAAGGTCAAGTGAAGAGTTTTTAAGGCCTGCCAAGATCTTAGGCAAATGTATAAGCAGCAGGGAAGGAACCAGTAGACAGGGAAAGATTGAGGACAGGATTGGCCTGGGGTAGGAGAGGAATGATTCTAGGCCTAATTTCAAGGAAGAGAGAGGAGTAAATGAATGCAAGTATTGGCCTTAGCAGGGTGAAGGGTCACCTCTCCATCAGAAATCCAAGTAAAGGAGGACAGAAAAGGGGATGGTGTCAACTGATTTTGAGACATAGGGTAGGGGAAAAGAGGTAGCCCATTGGCCTGTATTGCAAAATTGTTTCATCCAGTTGTGAAGGGGTTGAATTTATTTATACAAATCCTTTTGGAACCCAAAATTATTTTGTATGTTATGTATGTAGAAAGGAGTTAGCTAACAGGGACCTTTATGGACAAATGTTCTATTTAGTTTACCACTTAATAATGTATTTTTTATGCATTTTAGAACCTTACAAATGTGGAAGTAATAAATTAGCGTATTATACATATACCATTTACTCTGCATAGTTGCCAAAATATGTTTAAATAACTGACATGTTTAATTCATATTAGTATAAGGGAAAGTAATATGAATTACATTCAAAGCTTTCAGCAAATGTATTTAAAGTGTCAAAATGATTATTGTTCTGATTCAAAAGTACCTAAAGGAAGCAGGCAGGCATCAGAGACAAGAAGTCATGGAGTTTTCATTAACATCTAAAAATTTTGGCAATACAACATGTAAATATATTTACATGAAATTTATATGATATAAATATGAAATTTAAAAACATCAAAATAATTTGAGATTAGAAATGAAGTAAATTTGAAATTTATTTTAATAATGTTTTAGTTTCCTTATTAATAGTCTCCTAAAATTAATACATACTCAAAAATGATGAATATTTCCCCAAATTTTCTTTGAATATAATCCCAATATGACTTGATTGTAAGTGAAATTATTTTTTCAAAAGTAGTAAGGAATGTTTGCAAATGAAGAAATGTTTATAGATACAAAGTGTGTAATTAAATTATTTTTGTTTTATAAAAAATGCACAAAGATCTCATTTATATAAAAGTTACCAAGTAAGAATGTTCACAGTGAAAATTCTATGATAAATCCTTCTTTTTTGTGCACATTACCCAGATGAATTCTATTTAGTGTTTGTACTATTGTCTTATATACTATGTTGGGGAATTTATAATACTCAACCATATATTTAAGTGCTTACATGCCCATATTTTCATTTGTGTGCATATTGTAATGTCTATATGAGCTAGTAGGCAATCTATATGAATATTGTGGTTAAAATAATGAATTACTTGTTGATATGACTGCAAAATTAACTAAGCTGATCTTTATATGACAGACATACAGTCAGATGCTGAGCCCATACTTGACAACTTGTCAGCTTGGTAATACCAGCCAGGGCTTGAATTCTATCATCATGGCCTTTGAGAATCCAGGAGTTTTCAATACGAAAATTATGAAAGGAATAGCCAGAATCATATGTAAAAATGATGGTTAGTGGAGTTCTAGAAACAGTTATGAAGGAAAAGTGGAAAGATA